AATTTTTGCGCAAACCAGCATAATCACAAAAATTTTTATGAAAAAACTAAAAAACCGGAATATCTTGAAAACTTTGTATGAACGGGTATAGATGTTTCAATTGATTTAGATAGAAGGCATTGAAACGAATATTTCGAAAAAAAAGTAAAATCGGTTGCGTAAGTTTGAAGATATTGTATATAAAAGATTTTTAGAAAAAGTCGAATATCTTTGAACTGTCGATGCACTTGGCCCATCTTCAATGTGTACCGTTGTTATCATGAGAGGAAGATTCTATCGAAATTTCAAGTTGATATCTTCATTTTTGCACAAGCTAGCATGATTACAAAGTGTTTTTAAACGGGAAAACAGGAATATCTCGAAAACTACGTGTCAACGGATATATATGTTTTGATAGACTTAGATAGAAGGCATCGAAGCGAATATTTTGAAAACAAAAAAATTGAAATCGGTTCACTAGTTTTGAAGATATTTGCGGAAAACGATTTAAAAACGAATCGCTTTTTCTCAAAAGCGATTAGGTCGATCGGGTTGAAATTTTGCACAAAGTTAGTCCTCATTAAGACCTATAATCTGACAAAATTTCAGATTTTTTGGAACTACTTTACTCACTTCATTACTCAATTTTCTAAAAATTGACGACCGGGAAGGTGGCGGGGGACATGCTCACACACAGATTATTCTCCATCCTTAATAATAAAAAACTAGAGATAGTGAAAATTGGACGATTACAATGCTTCCATTCGGAAGCAAAGATTTCTGGAAATGACTCGTCAGAAAAATGAATGGAGAAATACAATTATAAAAATTCCAACCGCCGCCCTAGTAGAAATTCTGACCGGCAGGGTGACATTCGGTGAGCGCGCGCATCCGGACATTTGATTTCTATACTAGGGCAGCGGTGGCTGTGTGGTTAGAGTGTGGGATTGGCATGCGGGAGACCCGGGTTCGACTCCCGACTGGGCCAGGCCAAAATTTGTGACACTATAAATCTCACACTTTCATTTTTCAAGCGGGAGTCTCGCAAGAAACAACTGGGCCGGTTTTTCCCTCAAGTGAGGTTCTCCCTTGTCCTTCGGCTAATGCGGCAGAGGGGTTGGGGGGTGGGAAGGGAACAAATCACAAAGACCCGAAAGGGCATACGAGAGAAAAAAAATATTTTTTATNACGAATCGTCCATAAACGAATATCATTAATAACTTCACCATCATACACTTCCGTTATTGATAATTACTAGATGCCCTTCACTTATTCCATAACCTCTCCCTCATCTCTACGTAACTGATCAAAATAGTATATTTCGTCATTAGGCCGATAAAAAATTTTCTGGTGAATATGAGGTTTGCAGCACGAGCCGAAGGCGATGGCTGCAATCATATTCGTCAGAAAAGTTTTTTTTGGCCGTATGACGAACAATATCCGCTTCGCTCCGCGTCCGTGAATCTCTGCCTACGGCCGGAATGACAAAAACATTCATGTCTGATGGAAGCTCGCCCCCATGCGTTCGAAGGAGCGAAGTTTGTCGCATACGGGCGACGCTCATCCCAGTGCGCCCTAGAGAGTAAAGGTCAGCACGCGCGGGCGAAGCTCGCACTGCTAGAAAATTACTCTTGAAATTTCAAGTGAAAACGCTTGAAATGTTTAACTACGGCAAAATTACATGAAATTTCTGTATATTCCTGTATATTTCTTCATTGACGAGTCAGTTAATTTCTTGAATATTCAAGTACTCTCGACTTGCAGGTCCATACACTGAGAAAAAAAATTTCTAAGAAATAGAAATTCTATGATTGATCCAAATCGTTCATCGATTGAATAGTCGCAAAAGAAAATGCTATTGTAAGACACAAATATCGATTTGAACTAAACCAAAATTGGATTGTATGAAATCGATTTTGTTATAGTATAGTATATTTTGTTTATTCTATCGAATTTAGAAAATACTTGTTTTTGCGACAAAATCGATTTCATACAATTCAATTTTGGTTTAGTTCAAACGCTTCGGATTTGGCGCAAATAATTTTTTTTTCACACAATTGCAATGGAAAAATAATCAGTTCAAATGATGAAGAATTGCGTTTATCGTAAACAAGAAACTGCGCTTCGCGAAAGTCTCGCATCAATGAGTATCCAACAATATGTTCCTCATAGGCCAAATGAATATTTTATTGCATCTATGAATTCTGCTTTCAATCGAACAGATATTCTTTTGCGGGATATCGTGACGCTGATAAATTGGATAATTATATGCTTTATTCGAAGAAGATATCTGATAATACAGACATTGCTTTGTATGTACTGAAAAGTAGATAGCAACAAAAAAAAAGTTTAGACAACTGATCTCATTCTTTTTCAATCGAAAACATTAAAATTAAATCGATATTTGTTTCTTACAATAGCATTTTCTTTTGCGACTATTCAATCGATGAACGATTTGGATCAATCATAGAATTTCTATTTCTTAGAAATTTTTTTTCTCAGTGTAGGGCAGCGAAAAATCTTGATAATTTTGAAAATTTATACAACAGCTTCTCTGAATTCCCAATCTATTGAAAATTAAATTGTATGTGGTGTTCAATTTTCACGATGAATGAGACATTTAGTTTAACACTTTCATTTAAAATTCAATTCAACCTCACAACATCAACAATTCAGATGACGCGATGACTGACATTTCAAGAAATTTCCAACAGTGCACCCAGCCACTGTCGCCCCGCCAGCCAAAATTTCTACTAGGGTTCCCCCCGATTTTCTATGTAATTTTTATCTAACTATTCTCGCCGTGTAGTAAGCGCTAGAACTAAAGATCAGACATAAGAGTCATAAGTTCCATATTGATTTAAATAAAAGTATCCAGTCGGAAGCAAATAATTAATTCATTAAGCAAACCAATTACTCCATGTTATGGATATTGCCATTTTTCTGTTTTTATTGGCAAACGATTTATGACTTTCTCACTCATGTCCAGGCTAAATACGAGAATCGTTAAATTCATCGATTAAAAAACTGCCATTCGACAAGAAAAAACTGCAATGATTTCCCCGGAAACTTTTGAAATAGAACAATAAGTATATGCTCATTCATCGAAAATTCACGATGAAAAATTAGCATTACTAAAATTCACATCATATCTATGGATTCGCGTCCTATTGAACGTTCCAGGAATGCTAGTAGAATAAATGTCAGAAACATGATAACCATGGTAACCGATAGGAAATCCCCTCCATTTCAACCCAGCAAAATGATCCCTCCGGTTTTATGAAGGTTGTTCAGTTCTATCTCTCATGCGAATTAGAGTTTCCCTCAAAAGCACTCTCGAAATGTTTCGTGGGTTAGGGAATACTCCGCAGCCATTCGGGATATTCGAAAACATCGTTCGAGAAACGAACTGTTATCGGCTTATGCAATCTTCGAATCGTGTATTGAATTCCGAGAAAAGTCAATCGATATACCTTTTTTATTTATAACTTTTAAACGTAACTGGGAGAGGAAAAAAAACAGAGGACGGCGAGCATATGACAGCGCGCCATGTGACAGTGAGCATGTCACTCAGTGATCTTATTTTTTTCGCCATCAATACACTGACGGGCTTTCGAATGGTCTGAAATATTACAAAAGTTTATAGCTTTACAACACTGACTACAAGCAAAACTTTCAGATGTCTACATATTTTCTGTCCAAATTTCAAATTGATATCTCAATTTTTGCGCAAACCAGCATAATCACAAAAATTTTTATGAAAAAACTAAAAAACCGGAATATCTTGAAAACTTTGTATGAACGGGTATAGATGTTTCAATTGATTTAGATAGAAGGCATTGAAACGAATATTTCGAAAAAAAAGTAAAATCGGTTGCGTAAGTTTGAAGATATTGTATATAAAAGATTTTTAGAAAAAGTCGAATATCTTTGAACTGTCGATGCACTTGGCCCATCTTCAATGTGTACCGTTGTTATCATGAGAGGAAGATTCTATCGAAATTTCAAGTTGATATCTTCATTTTTGCACAAGCTAGCATGATTACAAAGTGTTTTTAAACGGGAAAACAGGAATATCTCGAAAACTACGTGTCAACGGATATATATGTTTTGATAGACTTAGATAGAAGGCATCGAAGCGAATATTTTGAAAACAAAAAAATTGAAATCGGTTCACTAGTTTTGAAGATATTTGCGGAAAACGATTTAAAAACGAATCGCTTTTTCTCAAAAGCGATTAGGTCGATCGGGTTGAAATTTTGCACAAAGTTAGTCCTCATTAAGACCTATAATCTGACAAAATTTCAGATTTTTTGGAACTACTTTACTCACTTCATTACTCAATTTTCTAAAAATTGACGACCGGGAAGGTGGCGGGGGACATGCTCACACACAGATTATTCTCCATCCTTAATAATAAAAAACTAGAGATAGTGAAAATTGGACGATTACAATGCTTCCATTCGGAAGCAAAGATTTCTGGAAATGACTCGTCAGAAAAATGAATGGAGAAATACAATTATAAAAATTCCAACCGCCGCCCTAGTAGAAATTCTGACCGGCAGGGTGACATTCGGTGAGCGCGCGCATCCGGACATTTGATTTCTATACTAGGGCAGCGGTGGCTGTGTGGTTAGAGTGTGGGATTGGCATGCGGGAGACCCGGGTTCGACTCCCGACTGGGCCAGGCCAAAATTTGTGACACTATAAATCTCACACTTTCATTTTTCAAGCGGGAGTCTCGCAAGAAACAACTGGGCCGGTTTTTCCCTCAAGTGAGGTTCTCCCTTGTCCTTCGGCTAATGCGGCAGAGGGGTTGGGGGGTGGGAAGGGAACAAATCACAAAGACCCGAAAGGGCATACGAGAGAAAAAAAATATTTTTTATGAACATTTTATGCAAGATTTATTACCTTGAAAAAAATTGAGACGATTTTTATTTATTTTCTTTTCTAATTCATCATCATTTATCAACTATGATAAAACGAAAATGAACGTTATGATTTAAATATAAATCACTCACCTGTGGACACGCAATACTAGAGAACTGGGTGCAATTTTCAAGGACAAGATCAGTGCCATTACGTCTGACAGTTGCGTGAATTTGAGGACAAAAGCCTGTTGTCTTCGTCAGGCACCACTCACCACAGCTAGCCCAAGCGCAATAATTCACCAAGGTGGCATTAACCGTTTGGCACATTACGGGTTCCGGATCGATTCCCGCGTTGAATGCCCTGAAATAATGGGAACAAGCTAGCAAGACGACAAATGCTCCACTCTCTCTTATATATGGTTATTGACACAATAGATAGGGATAGAAGAAATATTGAGCAATTTCATTCTCATTGAATGGCAACCTCTTCTTTCATTTTGCATTGTACAAGAATATAATTGTTACTAATTTATTGCATGGATTTCATCGAACCTGACAAAGTATTTATAAGATCAATAATCTTTTATGAGGATTGTCGACAAGTTTTTAAGAGAATTCTGAGAATGTTTATTCAAAGAACATCTGATGCTGGAAATACTTCATTAATGTTCCAAATTAATTTCAAACAAATTTTCAAATTCAATTCCATTGTTTTCCCTCACTTAGAGCCCACAGATACATTATGAATAAGGAGAACTTCTTGGGATTTCCTTCATTTTCTTTCCATCCTGTTGAAAACGCAGAACAAAATGCTAATTTCAAGAGAGAATTTTCTGGATTGTAGAAAGTACAGTTTCCAATAATTTTTCTAGAACTCAGGAAATTTTTCCTAATTTGCTAAAAAATCAATTCTATGTAAGTAATCATCGAAATTTGGATACATTCAAGATCATTTGTTCTCACGGAGATCAGTAAATACTTTCAATTCTTTTTAATGGAAACAGGTCATAAAATAAATTATCAAACGCAGTGAATTTACTTTTGATTATCTTTCTTTATATCGCGCCGTGCAATAGTCGAGTTTATCGCACGGTGCGCTTCGCGCAGCCTGCTCAAAACTCGACTTCTGCACGACTTGACATGAAATATTATAGAGCACTCGGTAATAAATTTCAACAAATGTGTACACGGAGAAAAAAATTCCAGAATTTTTCAGGAGAAATTCAGGCAAAAATTACCGTGCCGTCTGATAAAGTGGGTTCAATTGCCTAGCACCAGAAAAATTCCGGTGCTGCATAGTAAAAATTCCGGTACCGCACAATAAAAGCTTGATCCCTGACTGTTTTCTATTACATGATACATTACATTCAATAATTAAAAATGAGTAAACACTGACATTCAGCATATCATCCTATTAGGGGAGGGTGGGGCAAAACGGCCCCCCTTCAATTGTCAATAACTTGTGAATGACATTGTGAAAATTCCCAGTTTCAACTTCATTTTGAAGATAATTTTTCATTCTTCAAAACGAGCTCTAACTCATCCCAATCGGATTATTGAATCGGAAAATATTGACGATTGAAGGGGGGCCGTTTTGCCCCATCCTCCCCTAT